GAAGGACCGCATTTGCTGAGTATAGTCGTAACAAATAGGGAAAGAGTTTATATACTGTCGTTGAAACTCGCCAGAAGAAAATTATTGCACCACGATAAATCGATCGTTCGCATTTTCAAACGCCTAGCATCGCTTTTGCTTCACGTCAAATTGAATTTCTGGGTCACAGTCAACTTGAACGCTCGGCGACAAGCTTGTGGATAATTTATAGAAATTTCCGTACCTTATATATATATATATATATATATATATATATATATTTAACCAAGTTAATAATTAGGCCAATTTTTTTGTCTGAAACCATTAAACACCAAAACTTGGCTATTGAGAATTTAGGTGAATGATCGCTTTTGCAGACATTAAATCGAATCCTACAAAGGATTATTGGCGCTTTCATATATCCATACCACGGATAAATTAACTAGCGATGCAATACAGTAGGTTCATTCTTTCCTACTTTCTAAACAGCCTTTATCTTTTCCCTTGCTTTGTTGTGGTGCGATTGATCAGCTAGGTCCGTTTTAGGCCAACGGTGGGTGAAGGAGAAGTTCAAGACTGAAATGATAAGCATGGTAGAAAGATGCTTCTGACAGGAAATGTTACTGTCTACCTCATGGGCAAGTATGTCTGACTATGGGTGTGTTCTTTCCAGTATGTGAACACGGCAACCACTACCCCTAGATATCTATTTCACTCTCTGCCTCCCCCTCCCCCTCTGTTGTCTTCAGGGTTGCAATTTTACACCCAAAAGACACCCCACCAAATCGCTACCTCAGCCACCCCGCCAAGTGTTTTGAACACTGGGTGAACCCCACACCGCTCTCATCTTCTCGGAGATCGCTGGCGCTTTCTTCGCGGTTCTGTGCGCTGGCGGGCGCGTTCCTGCCACCAGCAGCGGCCGGAGCAGCGGTAGACGCGGAACTGTGCAGCCCTCTTACCTCACAACACAAGCTTGCCATTCTCTCGTGTGCACTCTGTCATACGGGTGGGCCACTTGACTCGTTCTGTCGATCACTGCCCACCCAACAACAAACACACGCATCTAAACCGGAGCAGATACAGGCCTGTGGATATGGCGTAACTCTGCAATGTCTATAAGAGGGCACACCACCGATTCTTCTCTTTGCCGAGGTTGTAATGGGAGAAACATTTAGAAAAACTTACGTTGCCTCAGGGGTGTTTGCCCTGCTTCACTTATGTGCATCCAGACAATCCAAGAAGGTGTAGACAGTTGAAAATCGACAAGCTGTCTTCGAGTTGGGTAAACAATGCTTGACTGGTGCTATTTCAGTGCTTCGAAATCAGTAGGTGTGGTCGGTTAATAGGTCAATGTATCTAACTTAAGTGACGCCGCTGTCTTTCCATCTGTACATACCTGCCGGCGTACTTATGAATTTCTAGTATACGCTGATCAGTTAATAGTTACAATGATGGGCGGAATTTAGTTAAATCGGGTTTGTTCCCGCTGCACCAACGACACGGCAGGGGAAACTTTAGCAGTTTAAAAAAATTATTAGTAGTCATTTAATAAATTATATTATGACAATTTACTGTTGAAACGATTAGAGCAAACGCTAACAAACATGAGGTTTAAATCCAGTCCTCTGACGCTCTCACACCAAGTTCACCTATGCCTTTCTAGCGTCCTAAATCAAAACTATGCTAGTATTAGGACGCATTTGCGATTTACTCGATTGTTGTACGTTGGAAATTCCCAGGGAACACAAAATATCTGCATTAATTTCTCTAGCAAGAAAAAACCAACAATATTCAAATAACTTAGAGGGTACCGAAGTGTGACAACGCAGCCATATTAGTAACACAGCCATCGCGCCTCGTCGTTGTCGTCTGCTTCGGCCGAGTCTCGTCTCATTGTCCATCCCGTACGGCTTTGACCGTCGGTGCTCCATGTAAATAGTGGCAGAATGATAGTGTTAATAGTAACTGCACAACTACCAGCACAGGACCATAGCCAATTGTAAGCAATGGGCCTGCGTTGATACTGAGGACGCAGACCACTGTTTTCGTTCATATCTCGCGATTGTACTGCTTTCTTTCGAACTTCTGCTGCGTTCCCAACTGCGTGCACAACAACTCTGTATCGTTGCGCGTTTCTGTGTCATCGCTGCTATAGCCAAAAAGACAAGAGTGCACATAATCCGAATAACTCCATAATTCCACCATAGATCATAACTCATAACTGGCTTTATAGACACATGATTCGGCAGAACCCTTTGTTCGGACAAACATAACCCGCTCCTCGGCTAAACCTCCGCAGGCCGAGTACCGCTTCTTCTTCTTCCTTATCTTCGCCACGCTCCTCTTAGCTAGAGAAAAAAGCCCACTTACATAACACACGGCCAGTATATGAGTGTATATCGTTCAATCCGACTAGATCTGAATGTCCATAAGGATGCTGTCATTGCAACTGCCCCGGTCCAACGCGCACTCCTGCTGAGCTTCTGACCGCGAACGGAGACCGGGTAAAGAACAAAAGGGTAAAGCGGTTACACTGTACATCACAGCCGCCCAATAAAGGACCAGATTCCCATATAAGCCTAATTTTCTAGCTAACTATCGTCTGTTTTACTCATCTACACAAAATGGGGCTAACGATTAAGAGTCCTGTAAACCCAGACAGGATAGCAACCAGTATCAAAACTGATAAGCGATATCAACAAGTTATTGAAATCAAAACAGATTGAAATGAAAACTGTTTGACTATTTATGCACAACTGTGTCACCCTCTAACAAAATTTGTGCAGGTTGTAGCGACCCACATAGATGTGAGAGAATTTGTTACAATTATTTGTCGGGATCGCTTGCGCCCTCCATTAATCTCTGTGTCAAAATATTACCCCTATAGCCGGCCTGATTTACTTATACCAACAGCAGCAGCGGCAGTTGCAGCGACATGCGATGTTAGCCCCGTATAAAATGCCCCTATGCGTCTCTCAACGTACGAATGTTTGTGTGTGGCCCCGTTATTTATATACGGGGGTTTTTTATCGTTTCGAAATTAGTCACAATTTGCGTTTTTTCTTATTAACTTTTTCTATTTGCTCAACAGTAGTCGTTACATATTCGACGCGATTTAGTCACTGAACGTTAAGAATCTATGACAATATTCACACATGCACAATAACGGTGCGCCATGTTATATCTGTTATAGGCACGCTGTCCCTGGCCATAACGTGCATGACCGACTCGAACCGGCTTACTGTAGTTTCTATGGCTAGTGACGCCATTAAGTGCACATGAACGATCGCAGTGGACTTACAATGATATGTTTACAACCATTTTCCTCTCAGCCAGTTTTGCTGTTTTCTATTACTTTTCCCAACGGATTCTTGTGTTTTCCTAGGAATATAAACAAAAATCTGTTCATTTCTTTTACGGATCAGCTCAGATGACGCGTGTTTCCCTCTGTTTCGACTTCGGCGACGTTCCGAGTGACCTCGTCCCTAGCGGCTGCTTTACTAGACATAGCGTCTTCGGATGCGTGGCGTGTACTATGATTTCAGAAGCACATGTTTCTCGTCCACATTGCTTCTTTCTAAGTATCTCCTCTAAGTAAGTCCCAACGAAACTTGTAGCTAACTCGCGTTTATGACAGCGCGAGCATACTCAAGAGAGCAGTCGATGGATTTTATTGGTTTTATCAAGAACAAGAATGACTAAAGAGAAGTTGTTCCTAACATTTACTTGTTTGTTGCCAATTCCACACATAGGGTGAAGAGTTTCACGACAGATCTCAGGGCTGTAGTTCAAGTATCATTACGACTCGACCGGTAACCAAAAGGGAGTACATCCCCTTTACGCCCCCGTTGACACATCAAGGATATCATTTAACCGTTATATGATGACAGACCATATGCCGTACCCTCCAGTGGCGCTTACTTATTGATACTTTTGTCTCCTGGTTTCATCTTGCTGATAGCGTCTGCTGTACACATTATCCACTTTTTCAAACTTTTTTTTTTTTTTTTCTGGATATTTATAGGAACAACTGTTCTGGAGCCTTATATGTCGGGTCAAAATTCTAATAGAAGGCGGTCTATAATAGCAAGATATTCTACGCTTTCTGGTATAACCATATCGCACCGTATGCATGAGTCCGACCAGGATGAATATGCGGAATGAATATAATTTTTGTTGGTCTGTTTAAATACCTGTATGTTACCAATAAAAATGTATAAATTCCGCTGTACAAACACGAATCGTCAATGAAGCTGGTTCGTTCCAGCTATCTAAGTAGAAAAAAAGATTATTTTTTATAATAATATAAGTAAAAAAAAAAAGATTATTTTTTAAAATATTCAAAACAATCCCTGCCAGAATATACGCTTTACTCGATGATTTTTTTTTTATCAAAATTATTTCAGCCGGTTGTATATGCACTGTCAGCTTTAGTCTGTCTTTCACAGTCGTTTCCTCAGACTCCCGTCCTCTCACAAACTGCCTTCTGCCTTTCTCGATACATCTATTCTTCTGCATTTCTAACTACGCTCGTCCGGAGCCTTCCGGGGTCTGAAGCATGTTCGCATACTGACCCCGTCCATAGTGTATATATATATCAATGCACGACACTATGCACTGGGACGTTGACTAAAACCAGCGGTAATGGCATTGTCATTAAAAAGCAATTTTTCAACTGTACCGCGTGCAAACTGCTGAGCGATTCAACAGCTGAACAACATTGCGCATTGGAAACAGCGGCTGCAGGAAGCGCCTCAATTGCCTGCTTAGGCCTGAAGCAGCACAGTCACTGGTCTCGTTTGCGCGGACGGCAGCGCCGCTACAGCCCTGGCGGTAGAACCAGTACATCTTCAGCGTAGATGACTTCGCACCACCGTCAGTATCGCTACGGCATTTACTACCGCTACTGTCTATGGTCCGGCCTTTAACGACAATGCAAAACAGGCAGCAGCAGCAGCTAAGCAAATTGTCGGTTGGCTCGTTTTCTCCGAGCTGTTATTTCGATTGCTCGATTTTTTTTTCGCTGCTCGTAGCGTTACCAGTCGCATCCGATTCGAGGTTAGTGCGGTCGAGGATCTGGAATTTCAGGGTCCATAGGCCACATTGATTACAACGCTTTACACAATAGCGGAGGGAAGGGAGGGCTGGGGGGGGGGGTGTGCATTCGTGAAAAAAGGACGCTGTGTCGACGCTGCTAGAAAATCGACGAAATGGGAAAGAGATAAGGTGAACGGCAGACGCATCTTCCCCGGCGAGTTTCGCCAAACTGACATGTCGCAAAACTTTGTCTGAAGAAGCTCTTTTTTCGGCTGTTGCTCGCTCGGCTTCTGTTTGTCTCTCTGCTTCTACTTATTTGCCTAGCTAAGTGCTGTTCCGATGACACCCGTTGATCTGAGTGTCGTCAACATACAGCTCACAAAACGGGCAATGTCGTCTCATGCACAATTCGAACAAATGCGCGGCCATCAGATAGATGGATACAAGCGCCTGCGACTACGGGATCAGAAGCGGGCGGGCGGGCGAGAGGGGTCTGAACATCTTCAAATAATGTGGCTGCACATACGAGCAAAAGCTGATGTTGCAGTATTTACGCGAACATAATCTTCGTCGTTGCAGTCCAGCCGGATCAACTGGATTGAATTGAAGCGAAACCAACTGAACCCCATTTGAATGTCATTGTCGTCGTCATCAAGCGACGTGGGCATTCGAATGATTCGACGATAATCAAACATAACAACGGCATAAAACCACGAATCGTCTTTCACACGAAGCTACATACCTGGATAGGCCAATAAACAAAACTATGGCTGCCACAGTTAGTCACGATAAGAGTCTCTAGCGAGCCGGCCAATGGACCAGTGTTAAACAGGAGGACACAAAACGAAGAAGATACCTTCTGTTCGCTCTCTGTGAGCGAAAAAACGAGAGATGTCGACTAGGTCGGCCTTTATTCGTCATTTACCAGGTAGGATCATGAAACAATCATTATCTGCGTCCTCAGTGTCGCGAGATGCTTATGGGCACATGACTGCATGTGCGCCCTTCGCAGGCTGACTATCAGGCGCTATAGGACGTTATTATCTATTAGAGCGGTCAGATATGACCGTCGCTACGACTGCGAGAACGGCTACTACCGACCTCCCTGTTCTCACATTAACAGCCGTCCTGCAGCACTTGGTAGACTGATATTCGACTTGGTCTTCGTTGCCGATCAGAGTGATGCTGCTGCTGCTGCTTCTACTGAACTCGGTACTAGAAGGGCGCACGGAAAAGAAGAGTCTCTGGAGTAGATAACTTAGCCGATATGTTGGAACTAGTGACGATCTGACGTAGTGGCGCTAGCGTCGACAGAGTGCAGACGATGCGATGGATGTGGGATAACGACGAAGATCGACGAAGTAGCATAGTTAAGGGATGTCTGAATGAGTGACAATACAAGGATTACAATGAGATTACATTGAAGCGGCTGTTAGAAACGCTGGACGGAGTCCATCTAGATCAAATTGTCACTTAAGCCAACCATGGCTGCCGCTACCAGAGGTCTGAATGGTTGAGCAATTGGTTTTGTATACGTATGCCTTTTACAATGAGGGTGCAAGCTACTGAAAACGGTCAACTCGGAACTTAAACGATTTTGTAACCAGCCAAGACCGTTTAGGCATTCAGGCTGAAGAGATCCCTTGAAGGTCATATGACCAAGCTGAAATATAACATTTATATTCAAAGATGGAATTAACGCAATTCTGTAATAAGTGTATCATGGTTACGCAATGTATAAACGTTAATAAACATGCATATTCGCTGGGTAACAGACGCAAAATCTAACAATATTTTGACAAAAAAGAAGAACAATCCAGGCTATCTTTTTTCAGAACTATATTACGAAACAAACTCGATTGTTAGTAATCCACTCCTTTTAACTATAGAAATATATACTTAAATATAAAGATTGGAGTGAATCATGTTCTGGACCCGAATGATGGCGGTAGTGTTAATTGCAAGGAAGGTGTAGCGCAGACCAGTGTTGTAGACGTCGATCCAGCTTTTATCTGGCTCGTGAGCAATACGCATCGTTTTAGGAACAGGGGCCAAACTTTCGACGTCTTTACGTTCAGCATATTTTTTTTTCGCAAATAGCGAGAAAGGAACCAGCAATAAGTGTTTGATCAGCTCGCGGGACGAGTTAGCACCTATCTGGCCAATGGTCAGAATAGTCATCCGTTCATTCTCAGTTAATGTTACCTACCTCTGCCTGTCCGTATTTTTCGATGACTTTGAATTAAACTCGTATGAATTCGTGGGTGAAGACGCGGCCATCACTGCGGGAGGTCCGCACGGGTGTTTTGTTCGCGGCGGCGGGCGGCAGCAGCAGGAGCGGCAGTTTCTATATTGTACACCTCGCCAAGGCGTACGGACATTGGCATTGTCAAATGACAGAGTCGGGTTGGAACTCGGGCCGACTCCTTCGTGACAGAAGTTCGAATCCAGAAACAGCTCGAACCGCTGCAGTGGCAGGCTATGTCATCTCTGTAGGTCAGTTTTCAGTTAGTTCCTTTGCCATCGCTCCGGGCTTGCGCCTGTTCTCTATTTCGTTCGATCTATGTCTTCCTAAGACTCATCTTCTTTTCTCTATTGAAATCTCTTTTAGAGTAGTTTCCTTTATTTCTTGGTGGTGTTGATGGCGCGGTCCGACTGCACTGCGGTCTACGCGGGCGATGACAGAAGGTGTCGATTTGACGGCTATCGGGAGGGAACCTATCTGCGAGAGATCTGAGTAGATCTATTGCCACCGTAGGTGCGCATCTCCCCACAAGCCTACCCCCATCCCTGATTGAAATGCATTCGGCACCCCCTGCTGTCTAAGTAGCTGGCTATAAGAGACGGTATCGATAGGACCTGAGGGATGATAAGGCTGCTGCAGTCGGCGAAGAAGAGTGGAGTCTGTTTCTCTTTTCTGCAACATAGGGATGACACCCAGCTTAGTGTCGTGTCCAACTCTCTATAGTCAAACTACGGCAGCGGCTACAACAGAGAAAAAACAGCCTACACGTCGCGTTTGCAACCCCTACGGCTGCCACTGTAGTAGTCCCGCTGGTTCTGCACTCCATATGAACTTGTTGAGCTTTTCGAATAGCTGGGCCTATCATCACGCTTTAGAGTAACACCTATGTTTGCCTATAATAGCCTGTAAATATTGCTAATCTGCGCTCTTACAGCTTGGGCAAAGGTAGATGATTACATGCCATGTTATCACGTATTTTATCTAATGACTTGCTGTTCTAATGAGAGATCTGGAGTAAAAAACGTTCAGCCAGATGGAAAACACTGTTATATCGTATATAGATGGCACCGTACTAGTTATGCGAGCCATTATGGACCTTCTACCAGGTAACAACTCCGATTGTCTGTCAAACGAGTTTGAGCCGCTGCTCTTATTCTCACGATTTAACATTGCACTTATACGAGCAAGTCATTTTCACTAACAATGTTTTAACACACAGAAGGCAGGAACAAGATGTTAAGCAACCTATAGCGAGTTGAATGTTTACCTTCAGTAATCGAACGATGATGTAACGTGCAAAAAATGCATTGGCATGGATACGAGTTTGCTTTAAAACCTAAAAAGATTCTTTGAAATTCTCACAGTAAATGCCAAGTTCTAATGTAAGATAGGCACTAGCTCTCTTCGGCCATATTGTGTGTGTGGCCTTGCAGTAGGTAGATCGCATAAGCCTCCACAAAGACGCTGACACGACTCAGAGTTTGTCTGCACCGAAAATGGAGCAAGGGTCTGAATCCTGATGGATCATCTATTCTCTTTAGGATTTAGCTTACGCGCACAAGCACACTCACATCGACGCATAGACGGTCATACAAACACAGACAGTTGCACGTGCTTCCTTCTTCTGCTCAGATGACCCGTAATTCGAAGAGCTACCATTCTTTAATAACCCTCGAGGATTTCACTTAACCAAAGCCCCACAGTCTGCCGCAACGTCAAATATGTGCCTTATGAGCTGGTCGACTATTGTTTGATTACGAGTTTTTACTTTCCTTTGCTCTCGAACCTGTTACATGAAGTGAGATATAGAGCGGCTGCTTTTACTGCGTCCGGCAAAGAATGCTAATCCTCTATCAGTCATTTAGATCTTACGAAGAATAATTTCGAAATACTTTGAAAGATATTTCACCGTTGCGTTTGAATGAAGCGCACAATTACTACTGCCAAAGCGTCATACTCCCTATATTTCGTATAACGTTTCGTTGCTTTCATCGTATCACGACGCATAGAACCTTCCGCGATTTTTGTTTTTGATTTTGTTAGAATTGACAAATTCCAAATGTGTTGTTATCGTTAGTGGCTTTTGTTAATACGATACTTAGTAAGCTTACGCTGCTAACAATTGGCTAACCGTTTGCGCATATGTTATTGAGCAGCCGATATTTAGTGAAACTGCGTACGATTTTGTCTCAGATTTGTTAGCTATTACATTGTATAATAGTCCTTCATAATTAGTTTGCAAGTCTGATATATTATCGAATGGAATTGGAAAAAAAAAGTCGTTTTAATTGGTTTTTTGCTATAAATCGATTTTTTGCGCCAGTTGATACATTTGTTGTCGCTGTTACCGCCAATTTTTTGTTGTTACGAGTTATTTGGGTGCCCCTTTCTTTCTTTCAGGGGCCATGTTGGCGTTAGCCCTCTCAAGAGGTTCGTAATTCTCGTTTTCGAAAAGTCGTCGCATTATATATATATATATATATATATTATATATATATATATATATATATATATAGTGTCGTTCTGTTTTGCGCAGCCTCATCGTCCACAAGTCCGCGAGTCTCGACATTGAGTCTGGCCAGAGGGTTGACAGAGACCGATCGCATCCCAATCCCCATGCGCCCACTGCCGTCCGTTTGCTTGCCTGCTTTCCCGTTGGAGCACGGTGCGCGGTGGCTGTATGCTATCAACTACTGCTTTGTCTGCCATAGGGAAAAAGGGGTCTCAACTGCTCGAATCGATGCGGCGGCCGGCGCTCCCACTGCTGCTGTCGAACGCCATCGAGATGACGGAGCACTTTCCAAAAAACTCCATACAGACACACACACACCCATAGACACACGTGGGCTCACATAGAAAGCCAACGCGGAAGAATGGAGAGAAGTTGGATACCAACTCAAAGACACGACCTATGACGGTAGAAAAAGGACCAACAAGCGTAGCGCGTTCGTCCGGTCGCGATCTTGCCGTTCGCATAGCCGCTGTCTATGTAATGGCGGTCGGCGAGAGACAGGCGGAGAACCGCGAATCAAATGGTTCCGCCGGTCGAAGTCATCACTGGACTGTCAGCACACCTCAGAGCAGCGCACCTAGGCCTACTTACTAGGGCCCTTTCTGAACGAAGAAAGGACCCGACGAGAGAGCAGCGGTTACATAGGCGCGGTGGAAGAGGCTGAATTAGATGAGATGAAAACGAGCCCGAATAACAAGCAGGACGAAAGGGAGACTCGTCAATTCGAGTTCATTTTAAATTCTCTACTTGGCCAACGATGCCAGCGGAACTATAGAGCAATACCGGGCTAGTCAACGAGCCAGTTCGTATAGTGGGGAGGAGAACCCCAAAAAGTCTTGGAGGTTGAGTGAGTATATGTTTTCACTACCGTAGCCGCATACACACACGCACATGGCTCCAATAAACGGGAGCGACTTCAAAGTATTCGATCATGTTCTTGTTCATTTTACAACAAAGTGTCGTCCCCTTCTTCGCGGTGTCCATTGCACGCTTTCGTGCGTTTCGAAGTTTGTTGAAAGGGCATGTAAAATGGGTGTTTGCCAGGAAGTACAAAAGAGTGCAAGATATGATTGGTTTCGTACCGGAGGCTAAGTGACCAGTTTAGAAAGGTTTCATGGGTAGTTCTTGCTAATTGACTATTCCGATATCTATTCACGTTTTGCCCTGCATAATGATCAAACAGGTGAGAAAAAAGATTAACTTAAAGCTTGGAGTGTAACAAGAATTGAGAACAATTGCCTGGTCATATCATAGCTGTAAGCCGTACAGAATTAACCATGTGTTGAAGTTATAACTTCAAATCTAAATCACAATTCGTTTTTGAATATACTTTTATTTGTCATGGTCCTTTTATCTGTTTATGCCGATAAGGTGGTTCAGTTTAAATTATATGGTATATGGTATGCACATGTTTAGTATTTAAAAATGCTCATAATTTCAATCTTCGCTTGTTGTGGAAAAATCATCCATTAGGCACCAAGGTAGTGTCATTGTGCGACAACACCTGGATCTTTCTCTACCTAGGTTCGATGGACCACTTGCTCGAAAGTCGTCATTCGAACTTAACGTTTTCGGGCATAAGCGGGGAACTGTCAGGTGTAAAGTAGAAGTTATTCAAACAGCTCCGTTACTTATGGCTCGGTTCAAGTGAATTAGATGCAGCATGGAATATATAATCTCACACGTTGTACACAGGTCGCATCAATATGTACCGAAACGACGATGGCACATTCGCCTACCTCACAGCACGAACAATTGTGATCTAGCGACCACATACATGACAATGCAACAACCTAAAATAAAACTTCATTATTCCGTCATACGGCTGAGTATATTGAGGCTAGTCTCCCGCTGGGGCAGCATTCTTTCTCCCAACCCACCCATTTACCGGCTTAGCAATTTACGCTGATGTGTGTGATGTCTTTCGTGATAATGGCTAGCTGTTGGTGGCTTCCAGTAGAGACAATCCAGCTAAATTGATACCATGTGCGTTCATATATTTGCACCACGACTGAGACAAACTTTGATGGTGGCTTTTTACAGACGATAGGTTTATTCACTGGAACCTATGCCGAGCGACCGATTACATTGAAGAGGGGTATATAGTTGCATAAATATATATATATGGACGAAATAATTTCGGGCTCATAACCTAACGTAACGTAACTGCCATTCGGTTCAATCGCAACAAGGCCCAACAACAACCGCTTCTATAAGTTCGCTAATGACTCTTTATTAGAAACCGTAGGTAAAGCGATCTGTTAGACTTTGTACGTCTAGACGTATCTTAGTCTCCAAGAAACGCCAAATTTAGAAAAACTATGATAGAGTTATATATTTGGGCTAATAGTAGGACACATTTTCCATAAAACAAGCATTCAACAAAAAAGTCCAAGAGTGTGAAAAATGATTAAAAAATAATTAAACTAGTCTTATGCGGGTATCCAATCGACAAGATACACGTCTCTCGTCGTACGGCGCTTAGTTTTGAATATAAAATCCGGAGGATTATAATTGGTCTTTATGCAATTCTGACGAACCCTTGGGCCCTTTTAATGTTATCGTTGTTTTGGATCTTTCACTTTGTCTTGTGGAACTTAGTGGAATTTTTAGAACCATGCGAACCGGCAGCAATGTACACTGTGGATATTGAGGAACTTGATTTTTATAGTGCTTATTCAACACGGAAACGCACTGACCATTTGATGGTAGCTTATATTCCGGCCG